CAAAACTGGTGATGTTTGAGTTTTTATTTAGCTCATGAAACAGAATGAGAAGGATACAGCTAGCAGTTTACTTCCCCAATTAAGAGGCATTTTTACATGTGATTAACCAACTTTATAGAGAACACTTAATTACATTTGCCCCCTACAGATTCAATACAAGTTCTCAAAGATTTGTCCCATGAGCACATGGAGGAAACCAGGTGCGTGAACAACAAGGAGTCCTCCAATGGAAAAGTTGGTTTTAGCTCAGCTTTCCGTCCTCACGCCCACTTGTCTTGACAAGACCCATCAGCCTGAATGGCCATGGAGAAAAGCTGCCAAAGCCAGTGGGAGCATCAGCAGGGTGAAGGAGGTGCCGCTGCAGGGGAAGGAGGTGGCGGTGTTTGTGGACCCTGCGGGGGACTTTGTTGTGGACCCTGCAGAGGACTCTGTTGTGGAAGCCACAGGGGACCCAGTTGTGGACGACCCTGCGGGGGACCCAGTTGACCCAGTTTCTGCAGCCATCTAAAAATAAAAAAAAATATACAAATTAAAAATACACTTTCGGCAAATAGAGATGGATTAATTCAATAGTAAATGAGCCAACCCACATAAACGAACACCAAAACCACATTAAAAGTATTTGTATTCAACAGGAAGTTTTCAAACCCAAACAAACCTGAGAGGTGAGACAGAGAAGCAGGAAAGCTGCGAGGAAAGCGACACAGAGATTCTTCATTTTTCTGTTTGACGAGGACAGAAGTCTTCCACCAAAGTCTCTGCTGGCTGCTGAAGCTAATGCTGCAGGAGATGTTGCTGCGATGGCTTTTATACCCACTGTGACATCATCAACACACCTGCTGCTCGGCTTTTATACCCACTGTGACATCATCAACACACCTGCTGCTCATCTGACCTGTTCAGGGACCGTCTGAAAACACAGCACTTTTTGCAAGATGGTTTATTACTAGAAGTAGAAATGGGAGAAATGCCATTGGAACTAAGAAGAACACAACTAGCAATAAATTACTGGATAAATTTACAAAGCAATAACCCAGATCATAAAACACTTGATATACTTAAACCCACGCTGGGAAAAAAGAGAAAAAACAAACACGAAGTTTTGGATGGATCATAAGAAAGAAAATAGAAGAAATTCAAATAGACAGTTTAGAAATAAGTCAACATCTACCACTATCAGTTTTACCACCCTGGATTTTACCAACTGCAACAGTAGACATGACACTAATGGAAAAGAAAAAGGACAGGACATACATCATAGATTCACACACAGTACAGACTTATATAAACAATTATTATCAGTACATTCAATTTTATACAGATGCATCAAAAAGAAATGAAAAAATAGGAATAGCTTTTATAGTACCAGAATTTCAAATAAAAGTAGGAAAACAAATCAGTATATACAGGAGAGATGTTAGCAGTTTTATTGGGAGTACAGTGGGTGGAGGAAGTAAAACCATTAAAAACAATAATCTGTTTAGATTCAAGTTCCACATTAGTGAGGTTAAAGCACAATCATTCAGACTGCAGGCCAGACAGAAACTAGAAATACTCCACACATTATTCAGAACACAAAGGATGGGATTAACAATAACATTTTTTTTGGGTACCAGCACACATTGGAATCAAAGTAAATGAGATGGCAGATAAGATGGCAAAGAAAGCAACTCTAAATCATATTAACGTCACAGTACATACAAGTAAATCAGAGGCAAAAAGTATCATCAAACAAAAACTGAAGAAAGAATGGCAGAAAAGATGGGATGAAGAAAGGAAAGCAAGATGTATTTTTTAGGATCAAAAAGACAGTAGGAGAAATGAGAACTGGAAGAAAGAGCAGAAAGGAGGAAAGATTAATAACAAGATTGAGATTCGGACATACAGGACTTAATTATTCACTATTTCAAATAAAGAAACACAATACAGGAAAATGTGAGCACTGTGGACAGGATGAAACTATACAACATGTTGTACTGGGATGTCAGAAATATGAGCAAGAATGAAGATTTATGAAGAGAGAGTTTGAAAAGATAAAAGAAAAGTTTAACATAACAGATGCACTACAACGCAACTCAGAGAGCAAACATATACAAATTATAATTAGACATTTTAAGAAAACAAAGTTGATTAATAGAATTTGAAATACATATTGGGAACAGAGGGGTACAAGGAGGAAATCAGTATCATAAATTGTTTTTACTTTTACATAACACAAAACTAAAACACAGAATTTAGTAGGTGGAGGTTATGAGGTTACACACGCATGTACAGTAGGTGGAGGTATGCACCTTTAATCCAACAAAGTTAAGTCAGGTCCTCTAGACGGTTTCTTTTTGTTGAAACATTGCGTCTTTCATCCAAAGGACTTCATCAGTCCGAGAAGCTGCAACAAACTCAGTCTTATAATAGCACCTTCACATAAAACTAGTTTTATGGTGCTCAGATGGTTTTTGGAGTCTGCCCTGTCCCCACCAACTGGTTTGCAGAAGTCATGGCCAAAGTCGTTCAAAATATCCTGATTCATGCTCAAAATCCAGTTAGAAAAATCCAGCAAAAATTAATCAGATCCTCTACACCAAACCTGGGCATTGTATGGCCCCAGGGCCACATGCGGCCCTTTGGTTGACTCTGACCGGCCCCCGTAAGGGGAATTACAAAATACATATGTAAATAAATGAAGTTAACCAAATCCAGATATAGATCCTCTCTCACTGATGATGTCAGCTTTGCTTCACATCTCCACCTCAGACCTTCAACCTGACTTTAACATTTCCCTTAAAGCCCAACAGAGACTAGACTCACTAAACAAGAAAAAAGAACTGATAAACACCAAATGAGATGTTTAGACTGCAAATGTAGGCACGTAAAGAACCGGGACTCGAAATCACAGTTCAGTGATGATCACTATTATATGATGTTTCATAATATTTGGAGTACAAAGACAATATTGTGATATATTTACAAAGCTAAAAACTTTTTCCAGCAGTATATAAAACTCAAAATGAGTTTTGGGGTGAATGTGACTGAAAATGATCACTAATATAACGTCACAAATGGTAAAAATGTTAACAGTTTACTATTGTACTGGGAAATTTAATTGAATAAATGACATTTTTTTAAGGAAACCTCGCTTTTTCGTTGCTTAATCATAACAAATACTCTTACCAGCTTGTTAAAACAGTGCTATGTACTGCTTTTAATAATGAAATACTATTATGCAGTATTGAGTTAACTTGAAATCAGGTCTCTCTTGTAAATGAGTCCTCGAGGCTCAATGGGATTTACCTGTCTAAATAAAGGTTGAATGAAAAAGTCATTTGTGCCAGCCCTCCACAATATTTGTTGTTTCTCATGTGGCCCCATGGAAAAAATAATTGCCCACCCCTGCTCTACACGGTTTATTTTTGTCTGCAGCTCCTCGGACTGATGAAGTCTTTGGATGAAAGCCAAAAGGTTTCAACAAAAAGAAATCGTCCAGAGGACCTGACTTAATTGTGTTGGAATTTTCTACCTGGATCATAAATCAGGAGATGCACCTTTAAGTTGTTTGCAATCTGCCATTAAAAAGAAGAAGAAGAATCATTTAGTTAACTTCATAGTTCAAGCAACATTAGTGACGAGGGAAGGAAAGGTTGGGAAGTCACAAACTAAAATACGAAGAATTACTATAAAATACGGAAGAAACAAATGACTTCTTGAATTAAACATTTACAAAAGCAGAACTGAACTGAACCAAAAATACAGCAAACAGATTTGTACATGACAAAATATCAAACGAAACAATGAAACATCTCAAGACAATTTTGGAGTTTTACAATAAAGTCTTGGAGAGGGAGCTGCGACAGATGGAAGGAGGCAATCATTGTACAAAAACTAGGAAAAAACACAAAACCAGAAAATTAGAGGCCAATTCCTTTAACTTCAAGTATGTCAAATAATGGAAAAAATAAATATATTGCTAATTACGTTTTTAGAGCATGAAATCAGGAGAGCACAAGACAAAGTGTAGTTGATGCATTTTTGATATAGAGAATGCGTATGACATATGGGTTGAAGGATTACTAATTGCATCAAATGGCATTATTGGAAACATGTTTAACTGGATTCAAAACTTTCAAATTGAAATATACAAGTTGGAATTGGTCAAGATCAAGAAAATTGAATAAATGGGATCTTCACTTTTTGCAGATGGAGACATGTAAGGGAGGTTGAAATACAGAATCTACTGTAAATAAAATACAAGCCACGATGGCTAGAGATGTACATTTCAATGAAGATTCAAGTTCTTATTAGGTTTGGGTGGCTTTAGCATTTTTTCTGTATTTTGTCCATGTCCATTCAGTATTCTGTTTTGAAAAGATGAATGTTTTTCTTTACAACTCAAGTCTTTGTGTCATGCTCCTTCAATATCTGAAAAGGGACCTACATTTTGGTGATCAGGTGTAAAAACCTCACACTAGTCATGTTGCTGCTGATCCGTTTCATGTTGCTGATCTGTTTCAATGTGTTCATGCGTGCACATGCGCTCACACAGAGTCATGCTTGTGCTGATGTTCAATGTTTTTATGTTACGAGTGCTTAGTGTATATTTGAGGTTTTTCTTAGACGTTACCATTTTTCTTATACATTTTATTGATTATGTGACTGGGACCCTGTGTACATAATTTCGCTCCACATGTACCACGAGGTGGGAATGACAATTGCTCTCCCTCTTCCAGCTTATTTTAAAACCACTTTCAAGTCCTGTTTGTAGCTTTGCTCAAGAATTTCTATGTGCCTGAATTGTTGGTCTGTGTCTAATGACAACTTTTGAAGTTTTTCCAAGTAATTGCATAATGCAATTTGTGGCCATTTAGCTACTTTATGAAGATAGAAACAGTCGCAAAATATGAAACTTGCAAATATCAATTTAAAATTTACCTTATGTTGCCAATTTAGTCAAATGGATTGAAAATTGGATGTCCAAAAAAAAAAAAAAAAAAAAAGGGCTGCAAAACTGAACAGATTCAGTTTTATTCAACTCATGAAACAGAACAACAAGCTTACAACCTTAACTTTCCCCAAATTAGACACATTTTTAAATATCCAAATTTATATAGACTACCCAAATCACATTTACTCCTTACAGATTAAATACACAAGTTTTCATGAAGATTTGTCCATGAGCACATGGAGGAAACAAGGTGTGGACAAGGCTCCCTCCTTGCTGGAATGGAGCTGGGTGAAATCCAAATGGAAAAGTTTTTTCCCCCTGTCCTCACTCATCTGTCTGGACCATCATCCTGAGCAGCCATGGAGGAGAAAAGCTACTAAAGCTAGAGGGAGCATCAGCAGGGTGAAGGAGGTGCCGCTGCGGGAGAAGGAGGTAGCTGTGTTGTTTGTGGACCCCGACAATGCATCCATCTGCAATGACAAAAAAAAAAAAAAAAAAAAAAAAAAAAAAAAATAGAATTAAAAATAAAAAAAAAAGATTAAATCCCCTGCATTTATATAGATTGTGGCACATTAAATAGGAGGGAACCTCATTCTCAAAATGGAAAACAAAATTAAAGTGGTCTGAACTTACATCCATTTAACATTACATAAAACTTACCTTGATAAGCCAACACCAAAAACACATTAGAAGTATTTGTGTATGAGAGAAAGTTGTCAAACCCAAACAAACCTGAGAGACAAGACAGAGAAGCAGGAAAGCTGCGAGGAAAGCAACACAGAGATTCTTCATCTTTCTGTTTCAAGAGGACAAAAGTCTTCCACCTGAGTTTCTGCTGGCTGCTGAAGCAAACACTGCAGAAGATATTGCTGCGGTGGCTTTTATACTCACTATGACATCATCAACACACCTGCTGCTCATCTGACCTGTTCAGGAACCGTCTGAAAACACATAACTTTGTGCAAGATGGTTTATTTTCCAGGTATTGTGGAGGAAATAGGAGGGAGGAATCTATATTAACAAGATTAAGAATAGGTCATACAAATCTGAACAGTACTTTGGTTATTATAGGGAAACATAATAGTGGACATTGTGACTTTTGCCAAAGTACAGAAACTGTGAAACACGTTATTTTGGACTGTTTTAAATATTCAGCTGAAAGGAAACATCTACTGGACCAAATGACAAATGAAGTAACAAGTCCTATATGTTTGAAGAGCATATTGGAATGGGGATCCAGTAAATATGGACGCAAATACTTTATGTATTAACTCCCTTGGCGTCCTCAGCCACAGTTATAGACAGACGAACCCTGCAGTCCCATGACTTCACTCTCTCCATGGATGATGTGCTGGTGGGATTGATAAGGTCTGAGAAGTGTTCCTTGCACCTCCCAACAACATCACTAGTTGAGATCAACAGCACCCCATCTTCACTGAATACAGTGTTAGTAAAGCGCTGCTTTCCCCTCCTCAGCTACCTGATGGTTTGCCAGAAACTTCTTGGAGCTGACCGAGAGTCTCTATCCAAGGCCTCACTGAACTCCTCCCACAACCGAGCTTTAGCCTCAGCAACAGCCAAGGCTGTGGATCGTTTGGCCCACCGGTACTCCTCAGCTGCCTCTGGACAGATAGGACTACTTCTTTAGCTTGACAGCCTCTCTAACCCGGGGTGTTCACCACTGAGTTTGAGGATGACCAACGTAAGAAGCACCGACCACCTTGCGACCACAGCTCAAGGCAGCCACTTCGCCAACGGAGTTGTGGAACTGCCCACTCAAACTCAACGTCCCCTGCCTCATCTGGGATGCGGTTAAAGCTCTCCCTGAGGTGTGAGTTGATCTTTCTGATGGGTTCTTCTGCCAGGCACTTCCAGCAAACCCTCACTACACTTATGGGTCTATCAGGTCTGTCTGGCATCTTCCCCACTATCTGACCCAACTCACTACTAGGTGGTGATCAGTTGACAGCTCAGCTCCTCTCTTCACCCAAGTGTTCAAAACATATGGCCACAAATCAGAGAACACATCTACAAAGTCTTTCATCTTTCTATGTCCTAGGGCATCCTGGTGCCAAGTGCACCTATGGACACCCTTATGTTTGAACACGGAGTTCATGATGGCCAAACTATGACTAGCACAGAAGTCTAACCACAGAACACTGCTCAGGGTCAGATCAGAGAGGCCGTTCCTCCCAATCATACACCTCCAGGTCACACTGTCATTACTCATGTGGGCATTGAAGCAGAATAAAGGAGTCCACAGCTGAAGCATCTTCCAGCACCCCTGCCAAGGACACCAAGAAGGCTGGATACCATGAACTGCCGTTTGGTGCTTAGGCACAATCAGAGCCCGTCTCCCCACCCGCGGTACCCAGTACCCCTCAACCTCACAAGTTCTAGCTCCTTCCCCATTAAAGATGTTTTACATCCCAAGAGGCAGCTTTGATAATTCAAGGTCAGAGTGCTAAGGCCCCCCACATTCAGTCACTGCCTATGGCATTATGCACTTTACTTATGGCTCCTCCTGCAGGAAATGAAAAAAGCCCCTTCTTATTGTTGAAGGGCTCAGAGCCCCTACCTAGGATTGGCTACAGGGTGATGCCCTGGTGAACCATGTCTGGGCAAGAGACTGCGCTCCATTGTTCTCTTTGGACCATTAAAGTCTTAAAAAAAAAACTTGTCACCTAGAACCAATCTGCTTTAGAAAACCCTACCAGGTGCATTTACAATATAGCTGTTGCTGGGTGTGCATGAACTCAATGCAGCTGCATTTAGCTTAAAAAAAAAAAATAAAAAAAAAAATCCTCTGTACAAGGCAGAATGTGTTGTAGGAACACTGGAAGTGCAAGGACCTGATGACAGATGTGGTTACAGGTTTGGAGGGTGTAATGAAACGCACCTGGCAGACATTTGGAACTTTCATGCTAAACACATTCCCCCCCCATAACTACAAATTTTACAAGATGCAGCATTACAAGTTTTTAAA